TTATGGAGGGAAACATTCCAATTTGGCTTTGCTTCTACAGCTGTCAAGAACAAAAGTCTGAATCGCTGCGCCAAAATTGAAAAATGCTAAGAAGAGGGGTAGCAAGAACTTGTGTCATTGAATTAAGAGTCTCAGTTAGCATATATTTAGAAATGAGCGCAGTTTTACAGAATTCAGTGATATGAGTAAGTCCAAAACAGCTCATTCTATGTCACCGTTGGCCTTGCAAGGTTAAAAACATGAATTAAGAAAGAAATGTCAATATTAACTCCTGCACTGATGTCTTTCATCCAAGTACAGTCATATAATTTAGTGTACAGCTCATGAAACACATCTGAGTGTACAGAACTTCTTCAGTGTTGTAGAGAGTGCAGAGTGTGACTGGATGTCATATAAAAAACAAGCAGGTGAACATAGATATCTGTGGGAGAAGATGCTTATCTTCAGTCAGTGACATCTACGAGAGACCAAAACAAGAGTCTGTTTATCTTCAGACTGTCGAATGTAACTGACCAACATCATTTTTGGCTGTTTTTTGCAATTCCCAGCTGGATTTGATGCAGTCCAATTAGATTAAACCCAATCGCTCGTTGACTTGGTGGTTATTTAAGTCTCCAGGGAAACTGTCCACCTTGTCCAAACTTCTGGCACTTAAACTAATGTTGTGGAATCTAAGTACTGGGTTTCAGCTTGTCAAGTAAGCCAAAGGGACAGTAAGTTGTGCTGAACAAAGAGCATTGCTCAACAGGCCTTCCCTGCAGAAGGTACAGTACAGGTTGACATGCTGATGACTAGCACATATATGATAGTATAGTGACGCATCCATGTCCGCACCTGCCACGGACTTCAGCACCTAATAAGAGACAGTGAATTCATTCCCTTTGTCCAGAATTTCAAAGGAAGGCTTTGTTCATTTGGAGACATACTGCAAGGTCCCACTAATCACCAGACTAAAGCCACTGGGGTCCACGTTGGGGGGAACATTTCTAGTTCTAGTAAACTTGAGGAACACAACAAAGAGCTGAAAGTGTTGCCCTCCAAACCGCCTAGATTTCAATGACAGTGAGCATCTGGGGGATGCATTGGAACGAGACGGATCCCTGGAGGCCACACTTCACAACATGCAGGACCCAAAAGACCTGCTGCCAGTGTCCCATTGCCAGAAACCACAGGACGCCCCCATCGCTCGACCGGTTAGAGTTGTTTCGGAGGTGAACAAGGGAAATACACAATACAAGGCGAGTGGTTTTAATGTAGTGGCCGATTGGTGTGTGTTCTCTGTAACCTTTACAATACAGACATTTGCAAAAGTGCAGTAGCTCAAAGTGTGGAGGAGCAGACGGGGTAAATATCATCCAGATATTAACAAGACCGTAAACAGAATTAATGTCAAAATTGCTGGGAAATATGGAGTGCACTCCCAGGGACAAAGCTAAAGTGGTTTATTTGAACTCTGGACTGTTTACTCAGGCTGACATGCTGTTTACTTCAGCCTAGTGAGAATAAGGCCATTGGAGCTCAGTATCGCACCACAGAACCACAACAGAACACCTAAAAATGCGAGTCTCTGTTCAATTTGAAACGAGCAGCGTGATGGTTATTCAGAAGTGAGAGTGTAATCTCAACCGACGGCAGGAAAAGACTCCAAAATGTGCATTTTGATGGGTACACAGGAGACAGATGTGGACATCTGATAACAGTTACTTATGCTTGAACAGTCAAACTTAACAATGTGAACCGAGGGCAAACCGCAGTCTCAAACGATACACGTCTTCAGCTTTTTCCTTCATGTGTTCTAACTGGTTTGAGCACCAAAGATGGTAAATCACATCAGAGAGCCCAGCCCATCATGCTTAGCTAGAGTTACAGCGACTGGAATTGGGTTTGTTTTTATTACCCTCTCCCATCAAAACCTCCAAGTCTGTGGTTATGAAGAGTCAAAAAAACAAAAGAAGATTCCTTAAGGGGTGAAAAAAAAAAAAATCATCTCTGCTGTCTTATATTGACTGATAATATTTCAATGGAAAGCCTAATTGTTTAAGTATATACAAAAAAAGACCAGTTTGAGTAATTACGTGGCACCTGTTGCCATGGAGATCCTTTCTAAAAAAAACAAACTGTCTGCAGTGTTCATCTTTCATACTTACCGTACGTTCAAGTTTCAAAATTGAATCAGCTTTTTAATTGTTAAATGGGGATTAAATTTCCTTCCTCAAGCACCATAAACAAAAAAAAAACCTCCCGTCACAATAAAACACTCCCAGCACCAGAGCTCAGAGGATATGTGGGTTACAGACATGTTACGGGTTCATCGGAGGGATACTGCCTGTTTGCCTTCACAGATGTGGGTCTGCCACTGCCTGCCAAACGCATTACATATGTCAACATTCATTTTCAGGAATCAATAGTGACCCTTTGTCCCTAATAACTGTAATGTGGGAGAGCAGAGCTCGACATGTCTTTGTCCCTGCAGGATTTCTGGCTTATTTTTCTGGAGGAGGGGAGTTACTGCGAACAAATACGTTTGATGTAGACGGTGGTTTTTCTCACATAAAAAGAGTCCTGCAGTGAAAATATAGTGTTTACTCAGCACAGCTCCTTATGAAACGTCTCATCTTGCTGTGCTTTCACATCATGCCCAGGTATGAGGACAGGTCAACACTGGCTGGTTGGATGATGCCGGCACATTTTGCAGAAATTAATTAATATACCCCCCCTGACTAATACTGGAAAGGTCTGTATTAAATTACAGTATGGAAGGTTCTTGGCAGAGGACCTGTCTGCAAAACAAGTTTATACAGACTCAACATTTATAGTGCTCTGACAGTTTTCGACTGTGGCAACATCATCACAATCGATAAATTACCACCAACAAAGGCTGCATTCTGAGTGTGCATCAGCGGCTCCTATCCTCAAACAAAGACACAAGATGTTGTGTGTGGCCCACAGTGTTCATCCTTTCATCAGAGTTCCCAAGACTACTCTAATAGAAAAACAAAACTGTTCTTCAAATCATTACCTACCTCAGTGTGCTAACTGGATTTATCTCTGTGTAACATCTCAGCTTATTGCCAGTATGTAATTTCTCATCAAAACAAAAGATCCTTTGAAAAACCACAGTGTTGTACTTGCATTGTGACCTAGAAGGTGAGGAGATTTTGTCACTGGGATCATATGATAAGATTATTTGGAGAAGGATGATTGGGGGAGCAAAACTGTTACTGCTGATTAAATGATGCAAAGCAGGACCTGAATAAACACCGTAAAAGGTATTGGACTTTAGATGAACCAGTTCATCTTGTAATGAAAGTATTTACATTTTAATTTGTAGATAATTTAGCTTAAAATGTCTCATTTAAAATTTTTGATCACTTATAAAGGCGCTTAAGGTTCACTCAGCTCACTAAAGGAGTTTAGAAAAAAAAAAAAACAACAGCCCTTTACCAGACTTCCCAGGATGCAGTGCTAGAGTTAAAACCACAGACTGTATAAAAGATGGATGTAGCTGCCGTGACGTCACCCGTTGGTTTCTGCAACTGAGAAAATGAAGTCAGGGTTTTGCTACTTCCTGGTTGACATCTTGGATTTTTGGAGCCAGTGATGCAAAAATCGTGGGAGGGGGGCGGAGCCATAGGAGCAGCGATTGGTCAGACGGATTGAGAGGCTGGCCCTCTCTGCCCCGCCCACATTTACCGCCTTGTGCTCGCTTCGTCTGTATGGTCGCTGTCGACTGTCAATCAAGCCAGCCACGCCCCTTGCCCCGCAAAGTTTTGACGATTTTTAAAAAATTCAGTATTGATTTATTTTCAGATTGGCCACCTGATCTCTGGATTTGACCATGAAAACTAACAAGAAAAAAATCCTGAGCTGTAGGAATGCAGTATTTGGTGATCTGTGATCACTTCTTTTCCAATTCATTTCTATGGGAGCCAGGGCTTTTTGGAGCCAGGACTGGCGGACGCAGGTTTTTGACACTTCTGGGTTGGCTTCATTTTTCAGGGCCGGTTGCTACGTCCATCTTTTATACAGTCTATGGTTAAAACGCTCCTGAGATTCCTGTTTTTTTTTGTAATTTGAAGGAAACAAACACGAAGGAAACTTGTGAAATCACAGTTGTTTCTTTCATTATGAAAACAGTTCTAACCACGGTGAAGGCTGCTGTTGATTTCAAGGAATAATTTAATCTCACTGTCACTGGCAGCAGTTCACTGGTTGTCTGTGTTTAAACTGAGAAGATGTAACATGAAAGCAAGTCTCCCTAGTTCACTAGTTCTTAAGTTCAGTTCAACAGACTTTTACAGTTTCCCAACTCATGAGTTAAAACTAACTGATCAACAAAAGTGCAGATTTTCTAAGTTGAAATTTTTTTTTAGGGTGAATAGAAAACCCACTCTATCCCCTCTTTGTGAAGAGGGTAAAACAGTAAAAGCAAAATCATACAGTTTTAAGTTGTTAACATTCCCTGAGAGACAGACTCTGGACCTTTCCAACGCATACATGCACCTCTGAACAAACATTACAACCACTGTACAGATTTGAAGCTGCATGAATTCATTTCAACTTGCCAAAAAACAAGAAAAAAAAAAAAAACGGTGACGTCAGCTTTCTATCACTCATTTGCTCATCACATCAATAATATCAAGTCACCATGTGCGTCAGCTACCCTGGTCAGAGTGAACCTGATTCTAGCTTGGAAGAAAGATGTGCAACTGGCTCTCCTGCTCAGAAGTCTGGGATTCTGAGAGACGATCTTTAAAACAGTCGATCTCTAACTTTGTACGACACTGATGCAATCTGTCGCCCACCATGAGCCTAACCAAAGAAAGCTGCGTGGCATGAAACCAAAACAATGCAGTGGAAGCAGCTGACATGCAATCCTATCAATCCTTTGGTAGAGCTACGGGAAAATGCCCATCACACATCATGATACAGCCCACTGTCAAAATAATATGAATGTGGCTTGGATGTTTCTCTTTTAGGAGTGTTCTCCCCAAACGTACCATTTGTTGCCTGGTGGTCCACGACTGCAGTGACATCTATGTCCACTTTTTGCCCACATCGCCCTAAACCCTGGATGAGCTGCTGCAAAGGAAACTCAGCCTCCATGTTGGGGTAGCACCGGAGGCCGCTGGAGCACCTCGGCGTGTAGACCCCGCACAGCTCCCCCTCCATCCTGGCGCACACCGGACAGCAGCCGCAGCCCGGCTCCCTCACTATCTCCGTACATACGGCGGTGACTTTGGGACACGCAGCCAAACGCTCCGCCGTGCAGCTCGAGCATCGGAAAACTAGATCCCCGTGTAAGATTCCAGGTAAAGCAAAGCACGCAAACAGCAACCCGTACATAAAATATATGACCATTCTAACGTTCCCCCGGTCTATTAGTGACTACTGACGGTAAAAGTGACCCTTTAAAGATAACAGCATGAACCTCAGGAACCCGTTAGCAGTCACCTGCATTTGGGTAAACATCCCTGGTGCCACTGACTGGCTCCTATCTGCTCTCCTATTACTGGTTGACTCGAAAGCACCAGAGCCTATTCCTCAAAACCAACAAAGGGCACTCCTGAAATGATTGACTTTGGTTGGCTTTCAACTGCAATGAACATATTTACTGTAGTGGACGCCCAAAAAGCCCTCAGAGAGACAGGTAGTGACGGATATCCACAGATATTCTCATTCGTGCACAATCGGACTTATCACGCTCGTAGGTGATTCTGTTTCCAATATTCTAATTCATATAACGTCGACAGAAGTGGGCTGCGTTTGCTGTACTTCTAAGTTCACTGTCGTGCATGTAACGACAAACGCAACAGATTCCGGTTACACCATCTCAACACCCAAACAAAGCAAAGTTCAATTCAAAAGCAAACCATGGAAAAGCAGATCTGACCTGGGGAGTGTTAAAGCCTGTGCTGGGACTATGTGTTGTGGGCCCTTCATTGGTTGCACTCCGTTAAAGGTGAGACTGGAGGAGCCTAAACCTCCCTCTCTTTTCAGCTCAACTGTTTTTGCTAATTGTAATAATGACTAGAATGTGCTGTGTTACCTGTGAACCTGGAAGCTCTGTGTGATTACAGCCCGTCTGTCCCTCAGCTCCTAAATAAGTGACTGTTGACTTGCTCCCGGTGGAGACAGGACGTGCGGTGTCATAGCCTCACTGTGGTGCTTCATCTCTGTTTCATTTTTATCAGGTCACTGAGGTGTTTTCTGACTTATGACCCACAACTGGAAAATATACGGTGCTTAACAAATGTATTAGACCACCAGCCAGTGTCAGGTTTATGCCACAGCTGGCCTAAATGAACAGCATTGGTAATTACAAAAATCATTTTTATGTTTCTGTCATGGTTAATAGAATAGAATAGAATAGAATAGAATAGAATAGAATAGAATAGAATAGAATAGAATTTATCTACCCAAGACCTGGGAAATGGTTGAATACACCAGTTTGTAGAAGCTCTTTAACCAAAATGATATTTTTAATGCTAAAATATAATTATTATTGTTATTGTTATCCAGGAATTTTCAAATCTACTGTTTTTGCAAAAAAACAGCAAAAATAGTAAATCAGATTATTATTTCTTGATTAAGATGTTAAATTATAGTTATTTACTTGCATTTCTGAACAGAAAAGCTAGTTTTATTGGTTGAACGTTATGCTTGATTCATTTCTCAGAGAAGCCCAGTGGCTCAGATTTGGGTATAAAAGGTGAGTTCAGTTGGAAATTCCTCATTCCTGTTCAAAATGGTAAAACATGGAGAGCTGAGTGTGAATTAAAGCACTTCATAATGCTGGATGCTCGAAATATATATAGAGTGCTTAACGAATTAGACAGGTGGTCTAATACATTTGTTGAGCGCTGTACACTGAGGTGCAAAAGTCACATTAAAAATCTGGTCAATTTTCATGTAAACCTGAAATTAATCTGACATTTTGAGGATTTAGAAATATTTGAAAACACAAGAAGCTCTGATATATTAAATATTCTGAACTTTGTCTAAGGAAAAAATCACACTGAAGTAAATTAGTGGCATTGACAATGACAGCTTCTTTGCACAACAAAAGATCCCTTCCACTGAAGTGTTCATCATCTCACAGACGCCTGTTCACCTAAACTAACCGTCAGCCATCGTTCGTGGTTCTACATTGCTCACCGAGGGGCACTGTGATAGTATTAATCATGACATCAGCACCAGACGAAAGTGTCAGAATTCACAATATGAGGTGGGGGTTTTTTTCCCGCATCAAATCATGACTCAATGTTTCTAAGAGGCAGAGAAGCTGGATCAGTTGTACCTAAAGCAGGATCAGGTAGATTAAAAGTGAGCGCACCATCAGAAGATCAATAAACAAAGCATAGTTTGCTGAAAGATCAGAAAATAACCTTATCAAAGATGCAGAATTTGCTAAACGAGGACTCCAATCAGCAAAACTCCCGTCAAAAGTAAAAGTTATCTCACAGAGTCTCCTATGAGAAGCAGAATCTGTAAATCTCTTCTCAGTAGGTGAAACAAGGACAAACACTTGATGTAGCAGCATTTCACAGTGGGTGACGGAAAAAAAAAAAAAAAGTCCTATTTACTGACAAATCCCAGTTAGAGATCTGTGGCAGGAGACCAGCGGGAGAGAGAACGGTATCGCAGCCTATCGGACCCACAGCGAAACATGCTGCTGAGAATATTCAATTCTGGGGGTGTTTAGGACACCTGCAGTGAATCAGCTCCAGCCAGACTGAAGGAGAAGCAGCTCTCCATTCTTCAGAGACCTGCTCCATCTTCTGGTTTACGTCTTGTTGGAGAAGAATTCCTTCTGCAGCAGGATAATGAGCCAAACACACCTCAGAGCTCTGACCTGAAGACCAAAGAGGACCAAGGACAGCTGACTGGCTCACTGCTCCTCCAACTCAACATTTATGGGACACTTGCACTGAATTGACTCCTTCAATTTAAAGCAAATGCAAAGTAGCTTTACTTATGACAAGACTTTTGGATCCCACTGAACCAGAACACAACCCTCCTCGCCAACAACCCCCCCTTCAGTGCATCGCAATTGCCAAATTGACAGACATTACCCAGGTGCAGATGTGTACAACAGCTAAGGGATCACAGCTGACTGCCTGAAACTTTAATAAACTGCTTTGTAGAACCTCGTTCCAGACCCCCTGAATATGTTCAGCAATTCCAAAAGACATCTGGTGCTGTGCTCTTTGACACTTTGGTTGAGGAAACAAGTGACCGTTCAGAATCGCAGCGTCACAGGGGTCACTCCCTCATTGTTTACAGCTGTTAAAGATGTGGCCATGTGCACAGTTTAACATTAAAATAAGGAGCTGTAAGTCTTGGTTGCTGTGAGTTTTAAGTTGCTTTTGGAGATGAAAGAATAAACATGCATCACCCCGACTTGTGGTGTCACTTGTTAGCTCACAGTCCTCAGGGAGCGCTGGAACTTGTTGCTTGCACAGGAGGACACATGCTGTGCATCTGTGCGCAATATCGGCGTGACAGGTGAGACAGCACAGAAGGTAAGTGACCAGAGAACGCCGGCGCACGTGGGCGGATTCGAATCATTAAAGACTTCATCATGCTGCGCTTTACCTCAAATCAGAGACTTCAGTCGAAGTGCATGTAAGGTAACATTTACCACCCACTGCCTTCTGACTCATTATATGTGTTCAGTAATGTGTGTCCTGATCTGATCTTCTGGAAACTTTATGCACTACCTAGTGTCCTCAGAGTACCCGCCGTTAAAAAGGAAACTTTCATGAGCGCGTACGCATCTGCTGCTACGAACGGCGGATCAGACGGCCGATTGAAGGTGAGGCAGTAAACAAGGTTCTGGATGTACAGGCGGAGTTGCGAAAAGTTTATTGCGGTGTAAAAGCAACACATTGCCTGTCATAAGGAAGAAGTTATAGAGCTCTCTAGCAGATAAAAGAAAAAAAAGAAGTGTCTTTGTGGAAACAGGTGCAGTATTTAATCAACCACTAAGCGATTTCTTTTGATAAGAGCTCTAAATGACACTTTGCGGTTCAAAAATGAGAGTTGCGTTGATGTCTACTTCACTCCGAGGCAGTATTTTATGGTCATGTTAGCTGCTATGCATTTAGCATATACGCTAAAACAAATTAATCTAGGGGGACCGACGCAGGCATCAAACCTGCAACCCCAAGATTGCCTATAAAAAGTATTATCTACAGAGCAAACCAGCTGCTTCACATCTACACTACAGAGACCCATAAAATAAGCTCATCATGCAACACTCAATGAAACATGAATATAGTTCATTTGTAGATATGCATCGATTGCATTAAGGTATTTTTATGTATGAAAATGGGTGTCACAGGTCATAAATTAAATGGCAAATTAAACTATTTTAGTTTCAAAGCAGAACATTGTATTGTAGCAAGAAGACCAATGTTACACACTTCAACAGTTTTAATGTTGTGGTTTTCATTTTCAGTGGAATTCCTTTTGTCATGGGTTGATCCAACAGCTGCCAACTGTGGAGTAATTATTAAGAAGCTGATGGCATGTGGCAGATAGAGTCAGTCTTGGTCAGACACAGTGTAGGACTTCACAGTAGCAGAGACTAAGTGGTTGTCCAAGTACCAAAATCTCCATTTACAACTAAACACTTAAAAAGGTCAAGCTTTTTTTTCCCCCCACATGTGAAGAGTACATTTGCATAAACAGATAACTCCTTCTTCACAGACCTTCAGAAAACCCACTTTTTCATTCCTGAGACAATATCATCCATCCATTATCTATACACCGCTTAATCCTCACTAGGGTCACGGGGGGCTGGAGTCTATCCCAGCCGACTTAAGGCGAAGACAGGGGACACCCTGGACAGGTCACCAGTCTATCACAGGGCTACACTTAGAGACAGACAACCAAGCACACTCACATTCACACCTACGGACAATTTAGAAT